TTGTACTATACCAGCCATCTATTTCGTATTTCGTATTTTGTATCATGTATTCCATATTTCATATCTCTTATATATTGTTGTTGTTATTGTTGTTATTTTTATTACGCATTTCTATGGTACTAATATATCATCTCCTATTGCTTTTTTGAGCCGAGGGTCTCCTGAAAACAGCCTCTCTACCCTTCGGGGTAGGGGTAAGGTCTGCGTACATATTACCCTCCCCAGATCCCACTTGTGGGATTATACTGGGTCGTTGTTGTTGTTGTAAGCAATTAATGATAAGGGTACAAGAAAAAAAAATTATCTTTCTCTTAATCTGCTAAAATGAATAAGTAAAAGTAAAGATATATTTTTAGTATAGTGGACAAGTAAAAGTGAACGGATGGAATATTAAAAAATGGTGAGATTGATACTAAACAAATCTACTCAAGTAACAATCTTGCAACTCTGCTCAACAAAGTTTTTTTTTTTTTTTTTTTTTTTTTGGTAATCCATACTCAAATCACGTAGTTATTTTTTTTTCTCTGAGACCTTATGATTCGCCTCCTACGTCATTAGTCACTTAAACACATCTTTGGGTGCTAGAAAATACACATTATATTAGACCCTATAAAATAAAACAAAAGGTTTAAAAAAAAATCAATTTGGTTGATGGAAATTTTTTGTGGAATTGTCCAAGCGTTTCCTAAAATTCTCAATCTTTACTTCACAGAGTACAAACTATATTCAATAACAATGATAAGAACTAAAGGAAATGAAAAGGTTATCTAGGGTCACACATGAATCAACTTCACTACTTGGTTTAAAATTAACAAAACTCCTATCATGTTCTGGATCAAGAAAACAAAACTCCTATCATGTTACATACCTCAGAATTTGCATTCAAGGCAAGGCAAGGTGCCGGCTAGGTGCATCCACTAAGACAATCTTTACAGCTTTACAGTCCACAGCGTCGGTTGTAATGTCAGCAGTACTTTCAAGTCGACTATTACGTCTAATCTACAATGAAATGTACATCAAGAAACCTTCTCCTTTGGTGAAGGAGATGGTTCCGATTCAACTGATGCAGGCGGATCCAAGTTCATTTGATCTGTTGGAGGTGGTACAGATTTAGCTACATCAGTTTCTTGTTGAACAGAGTCCATTGGATCTTCCGTTGGTGTAGAAGACTCAACATGATCGCTTGATTGTACTGCAGAACGAGTAGGATTCTCTCGGTCATTTATAGACGTGGAAGGTGTTGGGTTAGTTATCAGTGTCTGTGGAACTGTTCTTTGAGTCGAAGGGATATCAGTATCCATCGTATCTGTAGCCGGAACAGATGTAGTGGTTGCAACATTGGTCTGTTCAAGATTCATTTCAGTTGATGTGGTGGTCGCAACATTGTTTTGTTCAACACTCGTGTCGTCATATTCCGAGATGAGATCCATGAACTCGTTGAGCAGCCGCTGTACTTTCCTATTAGAAGCCATTGCTGGAAGTATGTCTTCTCTAAGGAGTCTGTGCTTTTTCAAACCCTGAAAACCAGATAAAGAACCTTAATAAGAAAGACAATTTTTGGGTTTCATTTGGCAACTGGATAGATTTGATTGGAATCTCACTTTTAAGAAAGCCAGCAAGAAAGAGCCAAAACATGAATAGACGAGAACATATATGCATGGAATATAAACATCGTCAAGGTATATTATATCAACAAGATGCTGTATGAACATGTACAAGCACACAGAGGCGCCAAGAAAACGAGATGTTATAGATAAAGTTGAACTGTTCCGACAGTCTCATTTTATGCAAACTACCTTCCTACTTTGAGCTGCTCCAAAGAGATTGACATAGTTCCAACAAAGATATTAACAATCAAATTCTCACTCTGTAGTTTATGAATCCTACCTTCTAGCTTGAACAGTTCTGAAAAGATTGACATAGTTCGCTGGATGTGGAAAATAAGATGGACATTGCAGAGAGTTAAAACCACATGCATAATTTCAATGTGATGTCATATTTCAGTATTATCTTATTTTGTTTATTTACATGTTCCAATTATTTCCAAAGAAACCATGCTATGCCTTCTATCTTGTAATCTGAACATATTTCACCAGAACGATCATAGTTTCTACAAACACAGAAAATCCCTCCCAGAATATTGGGGAAAATGAAGAAATCATGGTCGACACAATAAACAGAGAGAGAGGGGGGGAGGGGGGGGGGTCAAGAGCCCCCCTGTTTAAAACAAAAATTAACTAAACAGTGTGCAATTCATCCTATAATCTGAATATTGGTTGTTAAAATTCTCAATGACAAAATGGTCATATTAAGCAGAATTTATCTCGAAAGAAGTTCCTCATATTTGCATCGGAGAAAAAAGAAAAACCATGGTAGTGCGTGATATGAGCCACTGGTGCGCTAACTCCAAATTCATAGGGAGACGAAATACGAAATGATGTACTCTACACTACAGAAAAGAAGGATATTTACTACTCCCTCCGGTCCAAAATAAGTGAGTTTTTGGTTATTTTCACACATATTAAAAAACTCACCTTTTAGCATTAATTAGCAATGAAATTGACCATATTAACCTTTACTATCTCTTCACATAAACACTCCTAACACATACTCCAACATTATTTACTCCAAGGGCAATGTAGGAAAAAAATAATTAATTCATTCTTGAATCTGGAAAAATCACTTATTATGGACCACAAAAAGAAGCCAAAAATCACTTATTGTGGACCGGAGGGAGTAGCTAATAAAAATATCACCCTTTTTTCTCTCAGCAGCGATAGAGTGAGAAGTTGGGAGAAAATGGAAAAGTCCAGCTCATTTGAAAAGCCAATAACAGATATTCGAAGATATTGTTAGAGTTGAGCGACAAGAAATATACAGGAAAAAAAGAAAAGTGAAAAGCCCTTACAAGTACACAAGGGTCCCAAGCAGTTTTATTTGAATCAGAGGATGCAGCCTCAGCCATCCCTGTAGGAGGCCCAAGAAAGCTCTCACAAACTTCTCTCAAGCGTGACTCATCTGCCTCTCTGCATTTAAATATCAATTGTGTGTTATTTTGATACTCAAGAATTCAAATAAGGCGGACACTCACCTCTAACAAAAACAACTTTGCACTAGTCCAAACACATGTTGACCCAAGATATACCAACACCAGAAAGCAAAAGCCTAAAGTCAAACAAGACTCTTTCTCCAAAGTCCAAACATAACTTCACTTCAAAAAAATTAACAATAAAATTGAATTAACAGAACAGTAAGTGAATATACATAGGATTTCATAAATAACAGAACTAACAAAACCATGAAACTTCAGATACAAATATAGCACCAATTCAAGATCCAGTTATTCAGTTCTTAGAATTAATATTTCTTAAACTGGAACAATTGATTTCTCTAGACCAAACCCTGTCAACTGTGGAGGCAAAACAATTTCCACGGACTCAAAAGCTGCTTATATATCCCACATATCCTCCATACAGCACTAAGGATTCGATTTGCAACTCTCAACTTAATCAATGGGCCAACTTTAAACGTACACATTATAATTTAAAGGACAAAGTTCCAACATCAACCGATGCATTAAAATTGGATATTAAGTGAAAGATTTCATGTCAACAAAGGACTAGACACCAGACCTTGCTAAAAACCGGATGTACGATAAAAGGCATTGACGATAT